CCCCCCTCGCCCCCAATAGCACAAGGCGGGCGCTGCATATGTATGTTTGTTTTCTGAATCACAGCTGGATTTTAACAAAAAAACACACATTTTAACAGGCAAGAATCTCAAGAGCATAGTGACCCTAGTCGGTGCATTTGGCTGGCAATGCAGGGTATGCAAGTCGAGCGGTCCGTCTGTTGATCCAGCTGTACGTGAACTGGAAAAGTCATTCAGGTCGCTTCAGGCGTCGATGGCGCTGCACCCTGATCCTCTCGGGGAAGATGCCCAGCGCCTCTGGCAGCAGTTCATCGACGGTGCCCTATGGCCAAAAGGACCTCTGCACCTGACGCACCACCTGGTGGTCAATGCCAGGGCCGAATTGCTAGGACTGGGCGACAACAGGTATCCAGTAAGGATACCAGCAACCCTCAGTAAGTTCAAATAGGGTACTCCGCTGTAAGCAAATCGGGACCTAAAGAAGAGAAGCATGACTACTCGATCTACTTCCTTCTGCGCGCTAATTTGGCAGGACCTTCACACACACCGACGTCATCGTTGCGACCAATCAGCGTTCAGGAGGAACGTATCGGGCAGTCATGATTTTCTTCTTTACATTCCGATTTTCTTCCAGCGGAATATCCTATTGCTCTCCTTCTCCCAGTGCTTTTAGCAGATGCTACTAACATTCTTTTTACTTTGTTTGTTCACAGAGGAGGCAGGGTACCTGATTGAGCACTCCAAAAGACTTCTGGACGTTGTAGTTTCTCTCCAGGCACCTGTCGGTGGCTACAGGTTTGAGGTCAAAATGTACCTCTTTGGATTCACCATGGATAAACTAATGCTGCAGCGTAGACATGGAATCCAGGGCAATCGCAAGACTGCTAATTGTGCAATTGATAAGGTAAGACACTTGTTCAAGGAAAGTCAAAGTTATAAATTTAGAATTATTCTGTAAATTATTCTAGTATAATCTACAAAATAAATGGAACAATTCAAATTAAAATTCTATTAAAATGTCATCTCCGAAAGTCCAGGGTTGCACATAGGAAAGTTTAAGTTACAAATTTGGAATTATGCTGCAAATTATTCTAGTATAATGTACAAAATAAATGGAATAATTCAAATTTACATCTTATCTTCACAGGGTGAGGGGTCCGCATAATTTGTGGACTCTGAATATATTCAAAAGTTGGATATTCTTGAATATTAGGAAATGTGTATGAATACTATAAACTCGTGAAATGTCACTAAATATTCTCAATAACTCTTAGCTTCATCATTGATAGTGTGGAATATTAACAATGAGTAATTGTGAACACTAGTGAATTTACTGAAATAATGTTGAAAAGTTATCATTTTTGCTTGAACCGTGCTTATCTGAAGTTGTGGACCCTTTGTCAAAATGCTCCAGCAAAAGTTTATGTTATAATTGAAAACCTCAAATAACGTTAATGTAACACCGTGTCACCTTTTCTGTGCATTTCTTCAAGCACTGAAGCTCATTCGGTGGTACAGCGGGTTGCCCATTTAGAACTAAGTTCACAATATACAAACAACTTCCAATTTCACAGTAGAATATGACAACTTTGTCAGAAGAAGGGAACGTTTTTGAAGTCTACAGTTGCTTAGGACAAATTTGTGATAAATAATTTTTAGAACAATGCTAACTGTCTCAATGCAATGGTGCAACTAGCCACAAAAGCAAAAGATGTGTACAAGAGCAGCACCTTTTTTTAGATATAATTGTCCCATGCCAGTCTAATTGCGTAATTTTAAATCTGTGTTTTCTTGTAGCTGAAGAAAGAATTATGTGACCTTCTCGCTGAAGTTCGCCACATTGCAGTTTCCCAAGGTGAATTGAAGGCCGTGGGATTCATGGAATGGCAGTTAAAGATTGTGTAGTTTTTATAAGTGGACTTTACTCTTTGTTCTTGTGGATTAATAGATCTACTGTTGAATTTGTTTTAATGAAGAAAGGCAGATGAGTCATCTGCAAGAATTTTGTGTTGTTGCATGCCCTATAAAAGTTGTTGCTTTTGAAATCGGGGTGGGGTATTTCTTCTACACCCCACCCCCATCTGTGGATTTAAAATTCTTATTGAGATGCAGTTTATTGGTACATTAAAAAAAAATCTCAAATAAAGGTAATGCCAGAATTTTAAATTGTTTTGATAATTGGAATCACTACCCCTCACTGGGGGCCGCATTTTGTGGTGGATAGAAACCTCACTCAGGGAGACAAGTATACTAAGTATATCGTAAAAGAAAAAAGTCCAGAGTATCAAGGATTTCATTTTTAGAGTGTCTGAACTATTTGTTAGTTATTAATTTAATTGAATGTATAACGCCATTTCAGACTCAGACGACTTCATTTTTAAAATAATTTGTCTTACATTCATTTGAACAAAAGCTATATTTTATAATTTGGGGGAAATTAGCCACCTTTTGAAAAAAAAAAAAAAAAAAAAGTATGTTTAGAGTCAGCCTGGTTGGCTGGTGCTATACAAGAATGGCATCACTTGGTGGGGCACGACACGCCAGCTACACTTTTGGCCCCCTATAATTAATCTGCCCTATGCCTCCCTACTCGAAACACGAGAGTACAAGCATTCTGACACATTAAAGTGTTAGTGTAAATTAAATTATTTTAAAGTTAAATGTATCATCTGCTAAAAACATCGGAGCGTCCCCGCCCGCGGCCGGTCGAGAGGGGGGAGGGGCACGTTTTCCCACTCTGGTACAGAGAGTCTTGGGGACTGTCTAATAAACTTATTTGCGGACCCAATTCTGTTTGTTACCTCCTTTCACAAGAAATATATATATATGTGGGTGGGGTCACAGGTCATCTTAAAGGGGACTTTGGCAAGTGTAAATTCCCGATCTTGCCCGAACTCGGTATATTTGTTTCTTGTGTATGTTGATGACGACTGATGATAGAATTTTTTCCTGAGTGTCAATTTCTAGGGTAGTTTAGGGGAGCAAATAATAAAAAAATATTGAATTTGGGCCAAAAATGACGGAAGGATGTCTCAAATCGAAAAGTGGTAGAGGAACTACCCC